AAAGGCTCACACGCACGCGCGGCGCTCAAGGAGCCGACACCATGCGAGGCTGCCGAATAGGGGATCAACCAATAGGAATGGACCACTAAAATTACCAATCGAGTCGCTACTTAATCGAGGACACAATCGAATCGGTCTGATCTTATAACGTTTGCTTGTTTAAATATGCGTACTTCGTACTCAATAAACACTTCCCTTTCTTGTGACCTGGCTCTTCTCGTCGCCTTGGGGGATTGAAACAAGGTGTCTGGGGTGGCAAAAATGTTGGATTTTGGAGAAAAACAACATACGGTTTCTTAAGTTAGGATCCTCAGGTGTGCGGTCTTACACGTTAGCCCCGGTTGAAAAGTATGGCAGAAACACAAGTGTTTTATACATGGTATCTACTTTAAAGAGGCAGGAACGAAAAAATTTCTGAACCCATGGCCCATGAGCCGACGATCCCGATATCATCCTAGAACTGTAAAGGGGCAGTCCAGAAGAGCAATATGCTAGTTTCACTTTAGTAAACATGGGTGGGGAATATTATACCTGATCTCGGAAAATCATCGGTGTCATCGTGAGGTCACATCTAGACTACGAGTAACAATTTGGATACCGTGTATTAAGAAAGATGTTGACCTCCTCTAATAGGTGCAGCAGAGGTTGACGAAAATGCTCGACAGTCTTAAGGACTCGTCGCACCAGGACAGATGTTAAAAGCTTTACTTATTTCCTTTGTCTTACAAGCACTTTCAGTGAAGACTGTTCTGGACATTTCCAATAACACGACCATGGTTCCTCTCTAAAACCAGAGGAAACGCTCGAGTTCGGCTGTATAAATCCCCAGCGCACTCATCCTTACATGGTCACTAGCAAACATTCTCCACTGGACGTCAGAAATATTTTCTTCCGCCAACGAGTGGTGCGACCTGCGATCTGGCTAGGTTAGAGCTTTACAATAGGACCGCCCAACACCATGATTACATAAAACCGGTTTTTTTTAAATCCTCCTAGATCTGGCTTTTCTTCATACAGTTTCACGTTATTCCGCCTCATCTTATCCGAAGTTGTATTATGCGTTGACACCAGAACATTTTCAGTGTCAACAGCTGTAGATTGACTGTAAATATCAGTATCAGTATCAGTATATTGAGGGATGCGTAGGAAAAATTCCTTTGAGTGCCCTATTTGTACATATGTGCAGTGGCAACAGAAAATTTGTTTCTCAGTTAATTTGTTAATAGTTAATTCCACTAATAGGGTCATCAAGATCATCTCCTGCCTATAACCCTTCAAAATGTACAAATATTGCTTTAAGCGTAGATGTGCCTTTATCTTAAAACTGCTTTTATTAACCATTTATTTCCTTATCTTCTCTGAGAGACTTTCTCCATGACCCCGAGAAAGGACCACCGGGAATTGAGGAAACCCTTTTTAAATTACATTGTGTTGTCCCGTGTCCCCCGAACCATTATCTCCATCTAGCCCACCCTCCATTTCAATGGTGGAAGTAATATCAACGCGCACGGTTTAAAGCGTTCCAGTTTCGCCTGCAGATCAGCATCATGAGCATTCCGTGCTGGCTACTGAGATGTCGAGGCCTCACGTCTACTAACGCTTTTCCACGATTTATCATGCGCACTATACTGACGTTTGAGACTCATATTCTGGACTGTCAACTTTATCCCGCATGTCTTTTCGCGCAACATTTTTTTTTCTTCTACACTCTTTTTGAAATTACTGTCTTATAGAAATTTGGCCCCAGTTGGGCCGTAGGATTTTTTTCCTACTTTTTTCTAAGTTCGCAATTATTTGCCTAAGATTGCTGTCGTTTTGAAAGGATGAACATGTTATGGACGTGAAATAGTCTGCCTACTTATTAGTCTTTGCCACTGTATATCTGGTCACTCACTTAGAGCACCAGTGTGCTTATTGTCATTATTTTAACCTAAAACTAAGTCTACTTGGATAGTACCCCCTGGACGCTAAGACATTACAATATATTAATTTAATTGGTTACCCTTTTAGGTTTTCTTACGTTGGACGATCCACAGCGTTTGACTCGGGGAAGCGTTAAGCTGTAACTAGTCTTTTGTTACTGGTTGGTTCCTTAACTCACCCAACGCTGCGGCTGACTCAAAATTTAGAATCGCTCGATTACATGTAACTTCAGTCTTCCTGCAGTTCAATCGTTTCCAACTTCCGGACCTACAGGTTTGGACGACTTGCCCGAGGGCATGTATATCGACATGCAATATTAATAGGTCGTTTTTTCCCACCCGGGATCGAGCTAGCTGCATTCTCCGTGAAGATTGCCTGCCATTTTGAATATCTTTTTTAGACTCGCTCAGAAGTTCAGCCCAATCGGTGCTATTCGTTTCCCCGCCAGAAGGCGTTTGTGAGCTTCGAGCCGTGTGTGAGACGTGATTTTGAAGGAAATGGTGTTGATTATGCACCCCATAGTAATAATAAGGTTTATTTGCAAAGCACATCTTCGCTGTTACTTTAGCTGACAGCAAGCCAATGCTTCCTTGTC